ATCTATTCACCCGTATTTTACCGTACTTTAAAGTAAATTAACTTGGTCTTCTCTTCATATTAATATTCAAATCTATATAGGTATCTATTGATTATTACCTTTTCTACATCGTGAGTGTGATGTCTTTGAATAGTCTCTAAATAGTTATCAGTAAAAACAATCTATCTAATACACATATCTGATTATGAACTGGGACAACTTGATATTTAAAGATAAGTTAATCAATACGTGTATTTAATGTTAGAATTATTAACTATCTGATAGTTGAACATTCTAATGCGCGCTGGGCTACTGGCTACTGAGCTACCGTTACCCAAATTACAGCTAAACATTAATCTGGATCAAGTAGCCAGTGATCCAAACATGTTAACTTTCGCGAAGGCTTGTCAAGATACTGATTGACAGCCGTCCACCGATTAGATATGCCACGCTCTATCTTTGAACCGGTCATGGTCGCGGTTTTGTATGTAAATACACACGTCACATGGCAACTACTACGGGATTTTTCGCTAGCAAACTGCTTCTCAAAATCATCAAGCTTTCCAACAAATAAATATATGGAAAACGTGATTCTATTTTGCAATTCTACCTATGTGTTGACTAGTGAATGCATAATGCGCTATAACACACCAGCTTATACGTAGATTACATAAAGCAAGCAGATTCTTAGTTTTATAGTACTATTAAAAGATCTCCTGAAAACGATTTACGGAAATATAAACGACTAAACGAAGATACAGCCAGATTTACCTCGTGGGAACATTCTGTAGTAAAAATCCTTTCAATCCGAATTTGGACTGCTAAAATAGAAGAAATATTGGCCTATTAAACACGTTGGCAAATCCAATACGTATTGTAAAAATCGAATAAAACATTGAGAGCGTTAAAAAAGGATCAAGTTGTTGATAACATGTTCTGCTCAATAAAGATATATCGCACGGTCATCACGAGGTAAAATTTATAGTTTCGGCGTTTGTAGTGGTCACTGAGGCTGGCAATTAATTGGCAGACGGACGGAGTTACACGTTCTCAGTATGGGCATTAGGTATGTGTAGCAGTAAAACCAGTCTCGCCCTATAGGGCATTGCAATTACACGTAGATAGGTGAAGACCGAAGCCCTAGGCGTCACTACGCGCCGACGATCGCAGATTGATATCGCTCCGGACACAAAAGAAGAAACGTTCAGTGAATAATAAGACTGGGGTCATAAGAGCAGCGGACTATCGAAACTATCGATTACTGTATAACAAACTAGCAGTCCACCCGCAACATCGCCATCATCCTAGTAAAAACGTCTCACACAATTTAGGTACAATTGTCTTTTAAATGACTTGAAATTATTCATGAACATATATGTTCAACACTTCAGTGCAATCAACACTTTTCTAAACTGAAATGAGTATTGCAATGGGTGAAAGAAGAGCATTTTTCAAAGGATATGATTTATTCGTTCAGTGGATAAAAAGAAAATACCTTTTTTGTTGATTTGGAAAGAACTGAGTAAACATAATTGATATTGTAGTTCCATCAAGAAATTGTTTGCCTTTATTGTTCCATCTAGAATTGTCGTCTCTAAAAGCGTCCGCTCATTTAAGAGCTGCACTTTAAGGTTTCACGAGAAGTGAAATGATCTGCCGTAAATGTATCGTCTAAAGATATTCGCTTTGAAGCAACGATTACAGCTAAGAGCTTCGAATAACTGCATAAAATGAATTCACATTGGCATCTTTCGATTATTTTCGAAAGATTTTATTGCATCGCGTCAAAATAAAAGAACTTTTCTTGAGAATTCTAGTTTCAGACTAAATTCTTAACATCTAAAATAGTTCAGTGGTTTAACACGTTTTAGGTAGTAAACCGGCTGTTACTAGTAAATGCTAAAATAATCATAATTTTTTTTCATAATAATATGCAAAGTAAATGAATGGTTTAAAAATTTTTAGTACTTACTTTCATTCTTACCTACTGCGAGACGTGAAAACATTGATAAATCACATCAAGTTGAGGCAGTACTCTGTATCATTTCTTAGTGTAAGGTGATTTGCTATTTGAATCCAGTTCCAGTGTCCAACCAAAAGGATATTAAATTAGACGTTTAATCGCCATATTTTGCAATTTGCTTCACAGTAAATGGCTGCGTAGTAAAAAATATTTCTATTGATAACAAAACATTACTCGGACAGTAACGTCTTTAGATGAAAATTTAAGAAAGTAACAGGAGTAAGTCTGGAAGTGTGAAGGACAACATAAGATATGACAGTAAGAAATTATAAGCTAAGTAAATATGGTTTATACTGATCCAGGAAACAATGCTGTGAAAGCATCGGCATTGTTGTCAAACTACAAAGACAGTAAATTTTAACAACATACCATTACATAACCATTTTGTTAATTATGGTGAAGACCTGGGATTTGTACAAATAACAGTTTGGCATTAAATTATAATTGGCTAAATTCATCCGGTATATAATGAATATATGTATATGCCACAACTTGTGGAACGCCCACACGAATTCTCTTACTCTTAATCCGCTTTCCTGGAAAATACATTTAACATAAGCAAACAATCTTGATTATACATACAAAACCAGACCTAGTTTAGAACTAAAACAATGGTGACTTAGAAATAACTTGTGAGCGTGAACTGAGTACTTATTGAGGTTATTTTGTATCGTGAACGGTTTATTGTCAATATGTAGACGCAGTCGCGGCAACAAGGGGGTGTAAGTGGAAAAATCGAGCAATTTTCCGGATGCCGTTATAGCTAATACGACCTTCTGAGGCGGCGGTCGATTAATCTCTGTCGACCGCGATGGGCTCCGACTGCACGATATAAAGAACCAATGGAACGGGAACTCCGACACTTCAGATACAACCATCATTAGCTTCCTCTTAAGTGAGACTCGAGGGGGGTGAAGCAGGTCTATTTATACTGGCTGAAGAACGTGATGGATCCTTTGCACACGGAACGCGATGATGATCCAAACGTTACACCCTACTAGCAGAAATTATGAGTGCACTCGAACGTGTAAAGATAAGGCCACCAACATGTATGATCGAAAAGTCGTAACATAATATTGATTAAGGTATGTTCCGGGCCACAGCTAAAAAGAATATTAAAGCAGAAACATGACTAAAGCGATAAACGAGACTTCGTAATCACTAATCATTCAAATACGAAAAGCCACGTTTGATAGTCTAATTGGCAATTGCTGAGATAAAGGAGCAATTTGGCTTTGAACTACGATTCACAACTGATTCTAATCGGGTTCGTCGAAGCTCTAAATTGCTTTTTACATATTAAACCCAATTCCCTCGACCACTAAAACATAAGCAATCAACTAGGTAGTAAACTGGCCGCATTCCTAGTACTTGCAATACGGGACGAGGAAAGCAATGCGCTAGAACACGTTTCGATGCAAATAAGAGCGTTTACGCTAGGCGCCTACAATGGTCATTACCGCGTTTCAATTCGCAGAGAATTGCCGTTGCTCTAAACAGCTAAATGGCGTAAAACGAAACTCACGAGCGTCCGCGTACGAGTATGTTGCACATGAGGAATATTCATGACTCGGCTAGTAAATGGAGTAGCCAGGCCAATTCAATAACGTGCAACTTGAGGCCCATTTCAAGTAAGTACAAACTTTGTATACTCGTTTTGCAAGAACTGTAAAAGTAGAACAATAAATACAGACTCCAACAAATATTTTCTTACACAATGCAAAAATGTACACAATACACGTATTATGGTATAGTCTTTAACTGTATGTTATTGAATATTACAGTTTCAATTAAATGTTATAACTTAAATCTAAAATAAACATTTTATCGTTACCAAAAAAATTGATAGCTGCCAAATGACCACATTCACTGTTGCTGCCTGTGCCATCAAACTATTTACAAATAATAATTTTATTTGCATAAAAGTCGAGCAAAAGCATATTTTCAGCTTTTGTTGACTTTCTAGTCTAAAGAAAAACTTTATCTATTCCTGCCTGTTATTTCATCAGTGAAACATTATGTTCGTATCCGAGTTTGCCTACATACGTTTCGAGAAAACATAGGTGCACTTCGGTGTCCATTTCGTATGTTTGTTTGCAAGTCTCTTTGCACAGCGAGTTGTACCAGTGTACAACTAGCATATTATGTTTGCAGGTTAACGTAGGAGCTCTTTTTATTCAAATAGTCAGTCTATATATGGACTTTTTATCAGCAAACACTTACCTTGCAAAAATTGTTACATAAATAAAGCGTATTCGAGTTACCCAAAAAAACAACACATGCATCGGTACGAAATATGGCGCGTATAATAGGATAATGTTTTTCGCCGTTCAAAACACAGGTCACATCAGCCGACACACATGCTCAATCCCAGAGGAATTAAGTTATTAGCTAAAACGCTCTGTTCCAATACACGAACTGCCCAGTCCAATGTCCGGACATTTTACTCTTCAATTTGAATTCAATGGACGGAATTAGAGAACGTGTGGGGACGCGATGTGAGAACTACCACGATAAACTGCTAACGTAATGTGACATAGGGTTGTTCTGGATATCTAGATCTTAGAAGCACTTTGCGGTTCAGTTGTATGATCAAAATTCTTGTAGATGAGATTGTTTGTTAGTCCGAATGGAAAGAGCGGAAAACCAATTTATTATTATAATATACCTCTAATGAGTTATCACATTTCCAACCACGTTTAATGAGTATAATCGATTTTTTTTTTAAAAAACGTGCTCCGCACTATTTTTACATAATAGATTTATTTTGTTAGTCTGTCACTTTTCCGAATTATGTATGTAAACTAACTGTATTTTAAAAAGAGTTTACATCTCATCAATCTAAATGATTACCATATAAGACGACTTTATTTGCTGATCTGACGATACGATAAGCGGTTAACAACATTGAGGAAACAGGTGTTTAATTTAGTTAATTCAACTATAATGTGTCGTACTCCTTAAAATATCACCTATTGGCCGCTATAAATAGACTCACCTCCCATCGGGTCAAGTCCCTCGAGAGGATACTGACGACACAGTTGTCGTATCGTTATTCGTGTCGAACGTAAATCTGCGAAGAGTTGATTAGCTTAATTGAGGTCATTAATCGGAAGGATCGCGACGACGGGCGTATCGAGTTTAATTAACTAACGAATGGACGGACATTCGATTATCTTAATGTGGATGCGTCGGGCGCGCCACAGACGTCCTCCCCAGCGCATACACCGGACATCGACGCGACGGACACTGCTTCCCATGTCACGTACACGACACTGTGTGTTTGCAACGCGTTCACTTTTTTATCCAATAAAACTCAGGCAATTTCGTAAAGACACTGCTGGAAAACTAACCCTTTGTGTACCAATTTACGTATTACTGTTTACATCGGTTTTATTACACCTATTCATTTACGAGAAAGCAACTTGCATGTACATAATATATCTGCTTTAAGTGCAAAAGACCATGTTTTCGCTGAACACTGTAAATGTTTAGTTAAGTGGTTTTGAATTTCACTTATACCTTCTAAGCAAGCTATCTGCGACTAAGATCTGCAGAAAACGGAATGCGCTTATTAAATCCTAAGGTACACCCACGAACTGAGCCACGGCTAATTAAATTTAAAGGCTGTCCTAATTGCTGTTTAGTTTGAAATCCCGTAGGCTTACACGTAACTTTCTTGTGGGGTACGCGTAAACTGACACAATATTTTAAGCCTCCTCTTGAAACTCTAAAACCCCGAAGTCGGGGCCCGTCAGCGCGTTATCATGCATGTACAATTAAACAAACAACAGTTTGCGGTGACGCAGCTTTTGTTTATCGTCTAACTCGACGCACAGCTGAATCTCTTAATCCTAACAAATATCGCCGGCTGGTTGTACATTTCCCCTATAAATTTTCTATCTGCCGTATGGCGCACGGCCGTGGAAAAGCCGCTACCATTCAACGAGATACAATGAGAAACGGTAAACGAACGATTAAATCGCACAGTTGCTGGCAATAATATAAACAACTGATTAAACCGGCCCTGCGGTCACAAAAGGAGACATTAGTTAAGGAGCCAGGTTTCTCTACGTACCAGACCGATAATGGTAGGAAGTGATAGCGGCCGAGACATGAGCTAAACAGTAATGGGTACATAATGTACAAACATTGAGCACTTCAAAAATAGTACCAAGTCCCCGCTTGATACTACTTAAGAGTCGCCTATTCCTAACGCCTTTACCCCTTTGTATCGACCAGTTAAAATTCATAACCGCATCGAATTATCTTGAACGTGCATAATCTATATCTAAATGTTGTAAGCAATTTGAAGTTGTTACAATGAATATTAAGTGTACAAAGAAGGGTTGAAAGGGCAATTACAGCTATCCGGGGTGGATAATTACTATCAAACATTGCAGTGGGTAGCGCATCGGCGAGAGAGAGAGGTTAAATAGATTTGTATAAGGTTGTCTCTGTCTTTAGTCTTAAGCTGCACGACTAGAGGAGTTTATATTACATCCTCGGGCTTTACGGGGCGGGTGCTGATAATTAGAACGAAAGATGCGCAGCCACGCGACTCGAAGCGTAATCAGTGGTTTAAACTATGAGAACTTTAATAATTTTGTGTGCAGGAAACAACCTAACATTAAGGTCACTATTATGAGGAACGGCAGTAACTAATACTATTGCTGCATTAACTGTAACAATGTTCAGATTCAGCACTGAAGATCTAAACTTTATGGTCAAGTAGTATATTATAAACTAAATTATTATCACATTAAATATGATGCCCACGCCGAAGTCAAAGAATCAGTTCAGACAAGGAATGAGGAAAGGAATAAAGTAAGAACTTACTTGAACCAAAGTCGATTAGATCGCAAACAAAACTGCATTACCTGAAAATAAGAGAACAAGATTTTAGTAATTGCTAGTACTTTATCACATGTTTTACCATTATCTGTTTTTAAACCTACATAAATACACAGATAGGGCGTTTAGCTAGCTTCCACGCGCCCTCGCGCTTATCGCCTCTGTCACCGCTATCGACTCGTCACTTGAACCAAGCCTGTTTACAAACAGCGCTATCGCGGCGCGCACTCGCTAATTTGCGCCAACTACTCGACGACCATCCGACAAGTTCTGAAGTCCAGACGCGATTACCCAGTCAGGATGATTTATTTATAGCCCGCGTTAAGTATAAGTAGTTCATAAGATAACGAATAATAAGCCCTATCGCGTAACTTATCATTCGGTTAATTAAAATTACCAATGTAAATGCCACTTCATCTAGCTCATTGTGAGTGGTTAGTGTCCGTTCGCATTTTTATCTGACTTTTGCATGGATGGGAATTTATGCGTGTGTTCTAAATAGAATTGTGGAAAGATAAGTTGATGAGTCTTGAACGTTATCATAACATAACAGGTATTTAATTACCGCTTATCAAGTATTTCCACAACAGAACTTCAAATGAAACGTTTTTTCTTTAATGAATCAAAGGACTATGTGCACACACCTGCTCATGCATTTGAATGAAATAAAAATTAAGTTGATTAAAGTAAGTAATGAGCAAAATCAACCTTATCATTAAATAAGTAGCTCGGACCGAATTTAGGTTTAGTTACACCTTGAGAGTTAATTACGATAGAAATGTAGGTACTAAACACTGTTCTGTAGTTAGATAAAACAGTTTCACAGTCATAAAAGTGAACATTATTACTTGTAGACTCAATATTCCCTTCTAAATCAAGTAAAGCAAGTCCTTGTATTTAGTAATTGCGCCTGAGACCACCACGATGCAGTCAACTTCGAAATATACTGAGAAATAGTCTAAAGCTCACATAAATACGTTTAAACGTTGACATCCGTTGCTCATCTGTGTATTAACGCTACAAAAACAAGGGAGCTCCTCGACGCTCCACTAAGTGACAAAGGTACCGCGGCAAAAGCACGTACAAACCGTATCAACGGCCACGGTACTTAGCAGAACAAACAATGGATCAGTAGCAATCATACGGAATACCATTGAGAGTATACGAGACCCTTGTTTTTGTTGGCGAGTACCGTCGCCCATTCGGCCGCGGACATGTCAAATCAATTAAGGATAACATTCGGGAACAACAGCCAGACACATGTCTGTTGTTTTACTTACTTACACTCATTAAATATATTAGACTTACAATAGTTTCCATGTATTGCTGTTAACGTTTTAATGTGTTTAATTTTATGAGCATGTTAAGTAATTAGATAAACGCAAGTAAGTGACAGGAACAATTTGTTTGTGCATAAGAAGTTAAATGAAGCTTTTAAAAAGTAAGTGGGCAGAGTTTGATAACTAGAGGCTGGCAAAAATGAATCAACTTATAGTAGGAAACCTTAGTTTATGTATTAAGAACAGAGATATTTTAATTGACTACGAAATGCTTCATAATGTTATCCTTACTAATATTATAAATCGGGAAGTGAGTTTGTTTGTTTGTTCCGCTTTAACGCCGTAACTACTGAACCGATTGCTTTGAATTTTTGCAGACGTAAAGTTAGAAGTCTGGATTAAATAATAGGGTACTTTTTATCCTGGAAAAATTTGGTATTCACGAGGGAAAACGAAATTATTGGTATAGATGGCGCTGTGTGTCTGACTGATCCCTGAAACTGATTAGCATATGTCACATAGGCTTTTTATCTTTTTGTGATGCGTGCGAAGCCGCGGGTAAAAGCTAGTGGGTAATTAAATCTTATGGATACACAAAGCAGAACATCAGTCAAAAATCGCTCTATCGTAGACCGCATTATCGATTACAACCAGACGAGTTAGTGATCAAACGTCGGGCACCATCCTTAAGAGATTTGGATCCAAGTGAAAATATAGACATTGATTTTTTTTAATCTTAAAGTTACATATTATTATTTATATTATCTCGGATTACTCACGCAACCAAGGTTTTGGAAGTTTTGAAAATGAAACAATATTCATGATAAATCAAAATGTGATGCGGGGTGTTACAGTTTCATCGTTTATTTAGGACGCATTACCATTTGGCCCGCATGTTAGGGACTGTGTGTGTACATATAACATAAACCTACACCGATCAGGATTGATCCCGTGCAAACTTTTCCGACATATAAAACAATCTCTATTTGTGACTTATTTATGTATTATGTGAGAACTACTGCCTTGTTGTTTTTGTGATTTCGTATTATGGAAGTCTGTGGCTCGATTTATGGTTCAAACAAGAGCTTTTTCGGTAGGGAATTAAAAAAAATATTATCAGTAGCCCATACAAAACAGATAACACATATTAAAGTGATTTGATTCGACTTTGTAACACCTCGAGGAACATTTTTAATTATTCCTCTCACCAATGAATTGAAAAACTACAGTGATGAAATTAGCCAAATCTATCTCCAGATAGTTCCTTATTCCCCTCATCTTCATTAGACGACGCATATTTACGAGAAATTCTTGATTGCAAGCAATTAAACTATAAAACAATTTAGTTAGAGAAATAACTGATCCCTGAAACTGATTAAAACAACGTTATATTGCGGGTTGCAATTTTACTGTTACCAACTACCTAAGCACGCTAAGTTTTATGCCTTGCTGAAATTACTAGATAATATAATATTTGTAGCAATTTAATATTTTTCAATGAGGAAAATAAATGTTAAGTAACCAACTAAAGTTCCTTTGACCCTCTTGTTTCAACACGAAATGAAAAGTTATAAAATTTACAAAGGATAACCGAGGAATCCCTTATTTGTTAAGAAACTTCTTCACTTCTTATTAAGACCGTATAGTTTCAAAGTAAAGACAAAAAAACTACGTACAAAGTGTCGTTTGTTTGCAGACGCAGCTTAATAACAAAGAAGGAAAAACGTGTATAGTGTAGTGGTACGTGTTGATAATCCTGGCAGACGTAGCGGGACATCCGGGACGGCAGCGCGACGGGATCCGATCCGGGACTCCGGGATAAGATCCCGATCCCGGGAAGATTGTCGGCGCTGATTTCCTGGCACAATGGACGTTGGAGATCTTTGCGTTTATCCAGAACGATATACTGACAGCTTTAGAATAAAATCATGTTTTATTTTCAAATGGAAAACGTTTATCGCTGGTGCAGAACTTACAAGTTGAGATGAATTAAAGATTAAATCAGTTAACATGCAAGACTAGGCTACCAGTTTTTATTTTATTAATTAAAGAACTAATTAAGATCGATGTAAAAACACCTGTTGTGTGATATTTTGTAACAAATTGGGTGAAAATATTTTTGTAGC